TTTTTTTTTTTCAGGAATATATATATAAATATATTTTCAGGGTTGACTGTATTTAAAAAGTACTATTCTTTTTGTGATCTCTAGTGGGTAGAGATTATCATTCTGTTTTCTGTCACAATTAGGACTCTGTAGTACCAGAGACTGTGAGAAAGATCTTAGTGTTTGTTAGGAAATAATTAGTGGGTGTAGATGCTCTTAAGATCCATCTGTCTTCATTTTAGAACTTTAATTTGATCCCCTTTCCTAGGTTCATATTGAGATCCATTGAAGGCCCTCCTGTACTGACAAAGGCGTGACCTCAGGCCCATCCCATCCAAGAACACGAAGCATGAGGGACAGAAGAGGGCCCCTTGGCACCTGCCTGGCACCAGTGCAGCGGGCCAGAGGAGATGATTTGGACAAACTATTACACAGCCTTAAGAAAAGAATGCTGAAGGAGGGCCCCTGGCCTGTAGATGCACCCTCCTGGATCAATAAGCCTGCGGTTGGCAGAAATTCACAGAGTGCTGCATTATCACTGGAAATGAGAAAGGATCCTAGCGGGGCTGGCCTCCGGCTTCACGGTGGTGACCTAGTGCTTCCACATGTGAAAGAATCAATAAGAAATCTAGCCTCAGTGGCTGCTCCGAGTGCAGCCATGGGTTTGTTCTCTGCTCCAACAGAGTGTTTTGCTGGGGTGTCCTGCAGTGGTGTTGAAGCTCTGAGGTGGGACTGGCTGGGAGGAGGGCCCGAGGCCACCAACGGCCACAAAGGACAGTGCCCCAAAGGAGAGCCTCGGGTGTCAGGACTGCCACACCATCAAAAACTGCAGGAAATGGGAAGTTGTCAGGATGACCCACCAAGTGCTTTTCTCGAGGGTCTGGGCTCTGAGTTGGAACCCTCTTGCCTGCACTCCATCCTGTCTGCAGTGCTGCACGTGTGTCTAGAAGTGCTCCTGAATGATGAGACAGAACGAGTTTTCCTTGACCGTTTAAAGCCCATGTTTTCAAAGCAAACAATAGAATTCAAGAAAATGCTTAAAAGCACCTCAAATGGTCTCCAGATGACAGTGGGGTTACTGGCTCTGCAGCCTGTTGAATTAGCAAATTCATTATGCCATAGTTAAGGTCCAAGCAGAACAATAAAAATAGGTTAATTTTAAGAGTTGTCTTAGAATGATTTCTTTCACATTAAGTCTGGATGCAAACCATGCAGCCCTTCAGTTCCTGCTGTGGTTTTTTACGACTCGCCAGACTTCAAGTAAATTGAGTTGAAATTCAAAGCTGGTTGATGTGGAAGAAACTTTTTTAGCATGTGTTAAATTGTGCTTTCAAAGACATAAAGAATTGGGAAACATTTCAGGAGACGATCATAGCCTGTATAAATATCAGATTAGAACATACAGATTTACCATGAAATTCTGTCTTCAACACTCATTCTAAAGGGCTACTGTCCCAAGTCCTGTGTGTCCCTTCGGCTTGTCTGATAACCCAATGGAAATGGATACTTGTGAAGTTTACACCACTGTACTTGGCATTAAGCCTTGCTGAATTCGTGGTAAGCTGTTACCATTTCTGCATTTTGTAGAATGGTTTTTGTCTGCAGCAGAATTCGATTTCCCTTCTCACACCCCTTTCCTTCCACGTGAAATGCGATTTAGACAGAGCCCCTGTGGTGAAAATTGCAATATTAAGCTTACCTTTAGAGGAGTCCCTTCTCAAACTTGGAACCCTAGCAGTGTTACCTTCAACGAAAAAGAGCTTGAGAAAAAGGTAGCTCCATTACAGAGAAGCAAATCAAGTTACTTCCCTTCTAAAAAGTTTCCCAGATTCTAGGAATTGCAGTATCTTGTACCCTCAGATTTTTCAGGTGACTCCTTGTCTGCTGATAACTTTAATAAAGATAATTTAAGGGCATAAGTTTTTAAGGACTCCCAAAGTGAGACTTAACCATTTTGGGGATTACTGACTGCATATACCAGTTTATATTGTGTGCTGAATTATGCCATGTGCTATTTTAGTGTTTGGCGGAAATGAAAAATAAAATTTGTTCTTTAGCTTAATAAATGTCTTATTTTATATGTGTGGTCTTGGTTCTTCTTGTGTTTTTATTAATGCCATTGTCGTCCTGATAGTTTTTATTGTTTGAGACAGGGTCTTGCTCTTTCACCCAGGCTGGAATACAGTGGTGTGATCATAGCTTACTATAACCTTTAACTCCTGGGCTCTAGCAATCCTCCCACCTCAGCCCCCCGAGTACCTAGGACTACAGGTGCATGCCACAGTGGGCAGATTTTTTTTTTGAGCCCAGGCAAGAGTGCAGTGGTGCAGTCTCCCCGCTCACCACACCTCCATCTTGGGGGTTTAGGCGATTCTCCTGCTTCACCCTCCAGAGTAGCTGGGATTGCAGGCATGTTCTACCACACCCGGCTAATTTTGTATTTTTAGTAGAGAAGGGGTTTCTCTATGTTGGTCAGTCTGGTCTCAAACTCCTGATCTTGGGTGATTTGCCTACCTCGGCCTCCCAAAGTGCTGGAATTGCAGGGTGAGCCACCACACCAGGCCTACATTTTAAAAAATATTTTGTAGAGCCAGGGGTCTCACTTTGTTGCTCAGGCTGGTCCCAAATTTCTGGGCTCAAGCGGTCCTCCAGCCTCAGCCTCCCAAAGTGCTGGAGTCACAGGTGTGAGCCACCACACTCAGCCCCTAATACATTTTTTTTGTGTGTGTGTGTGACAGAGTTTTTCTCTTGTTGACCAGGCTGGAGTGCAATGGCTTCACCTCGGCTCTCTGCAACTTCTGCCTCCCAGGTTCAGACAATTCTGTTTCAGCCTCCCGAGCAGCTGGGACTACAGGAACGAGCCACCATGCCCAGCTAATTTTTTTCTGTTTTTGTTAGAGATGGGGTTTCGCCATGTTTGCCAGCTGGTGTTGAACTCCTAACCTCACGTGATCCACCCACCTTGGCCTCCCAAGGTGCTAAAATTACAGGCATGAGCCACTGCGCCCAACCCCCTAATACTTTTTTTTAAAAACACCAAAGTAGGTTGTTGATGCACAAGATTAGAAGCAGAGCTTGAAAAAAGACATAAAGCTAGGCTGGAACTCAGCTCTAATTCTGCTCCCAGGAAACGATGAAATCGTGCCTTATGATCCTTTGGGTTGGTGCTCAGAGTCCCAAAGAAAAAGTTCTTGAGAAAAAATGAGAAAAAAAATTTCTTGAAAGACAAACCATCTCCATCCAGTCTAAGTAACACTGTCTTATTGGAGCAATTAAAACCCTGACAAACAGCCATGCCCTTTTGGTGTCACTGTGATTGATTGTGAAATGAGGACACTTAAATGTTTTAAAATAGGAACTGTTTTCTCGTCAAGCCTTCCCTTTACTTCCTTTTTTTTCTTTTTGAGATGGAGGCTTACTTACCCTATCACCAGGCTGGTGTGCAATGCTGTGATCTTGGCTCACTGCAACCTCCGCCTTCCAGGTTCAAGTGATTCTCCTGCCTTAACCTCCTTAGTAGCTGGGACTACAGGCGGGTGCCACCACGCCCAGCTAATTTTTGTATTTTTAGTAGAGAAAGGGTTTCACCATGTTGGCCAGGCTGGTCTTAAACTCCTGACCTTATTTATGATACACCCACCTTAGCCTCCCAAAAGTGCCGGGATTACAAACACGAGCCACTTCACCTGGCCTTCCTTTTTAAAAAAAAAAATGAGGCTGGATGCGGTGGCTGAAGTCTGTAATCCCAGCACTTTGGGAGGCTGAGGCAGGCGGATCACAAGGTCAAGAGATTGAGACCATCCTGGACGACATGGTGAAGCCCGTCTCTACTAAAAATACAAAAATTAGCTGGGCGTGGTGGCGTGTGCCTGTAGTCCCAGCTACTTGGGAGGCTGAGGCAGGAGAATTTCTTGAACCCGGGAGGTGGAGGTTGCAGTGAGCCGAGATTGTGCCACTGCATTCCAGCCTGGTGCCTGGTGACAGAGTGAGACTCTGTCTCAAAAAAAGTAAAATAAAACGAAGTTTATTCACTTGGGACACCCTTTTAAATAAAAAGTTTACTCCTTTGGGATCAAACTTTCCATGAGTCACCAACTGTTTTATTTCTTTTGTAGATTGCAAGTAAACAAATGTTTAATTGCAAAAAGTACAGAATTCCCTATTAGGCATCAAGTGATACATATTAATTTTTTTATAGATTTTTTTTGTAAAGACGAAGTCTCACTTTATTGCTTAGGCTTCTGGCCTCAAGCAATCCTCCTGTCTCAGCCCCCAAAGTGCTAAGATTACAAGCATGAGCCACTATGCCCAGCCTGAAATGCTTTCATACGGTGACATTAAAATAAGGTGTGCATGCTGGGCATGGTGGCATGCGCCTGTAATCGCAGCTATTCAGGAGGCTGAGGTAGGAGAATTCCTTGAACCCAGAAGGTGGACGTTGCAGTGAGCCGAGCACCACAGCACTCCAGCCTGGGCAACAAGAGCAAAACTCCATCTCAAAAAAACCAAACCAGTTTCATGCATTTTCCTTTTTCTTTTTGCTTTTCTGGGTTCTACTCTTACGGGTTGAACAGCACAATCATGTTAAATTTAGAAACAACCCATGGCATATAATCTTGGACTTGGTTATTCACATTTGGAAATCGTCCTTTTTTTCTTTTTTTTTTTTTGAGATGAAGTCTCTCTCTGCCGCCCAGGCTGGAGTGCAATGGTGCAGTCTCGGCTCACTGCCACCTCTCCCTCCGGGATTCAAGCCATTCTCCTGCCTCACCCTCTCGAGTAGCTGGAATTACAGGTGCCCGATGCCACGCCCGACTAATTTTTGCATTTTTAGTGGAGACAGGGTTTAACCATGTTGGCCAGGCTGGTCTCGAACTCCTGACCTCAGGTGATCTTTCCACCTCGGCCTCTCAAAGTGCTGGGATTACAGATATGAGCCACTGCGCCTGGCCTACATAGCTAATTTTTAAAGTTATCTTCTTTAAACTTTTCAAGCAGAAGAAATAGAATTAAGAATTACTGAGGCGGCTGGGTGAGTTGGCTCACGCCTGTAATCCAGACACTTTGGAGGCCAAGGTGGATGGATCACCTGAAGTTGGGAGTTCAAGACCAGCCTGACCAAAATGGTGAAACCCCGTCTTTAAAAAAAAAAAAAGTAAAAAATTTAAAAAATTGCTGAGGCTGGGCTCGGTGGCTCATGCCTGTGATCCCAGCATTTCGGGGGGCCGAGGCATGAGGATCACTTGAACTCAGGGCGTGGTGGCATATGCCTGTAGTCCCAACTACTCAGGGGGCTGAGGTGGGATGATCACTTGAGCCTGGGAAGTCGAGGCTGCAGTGAGTGAGCCATAATGATGCCACTGTAATCCAGCCTGGTGACAAAGTGAGACCCTGTCTCAAAAA